TTTTTTTTTTAAGATTTTAGTTTATTTATTTGACAGAGCTCACAAGTAGGCAGAGAGAAGAGAGAGGGAAGCAGGCTTCTTGCTGAGCAGAGAGCCTGATGTGGGGCTCGATCCCAGGACCCTGAGATCATGACCTGAGCCAAAGCCAGAGGCTTAACCCAGTGAGCCACGTAGGCACCCCAAGATTCATGCTTTTTATGTGGAATAGAAATGAGCAGTACAGGGTTGCCTGGCTGGCTCAGTTCGTAGAGCATGCAACTTTTGATCTCAGGGTTGTGAGTTCAAGCCCCACACTGGGCATAGAGCTTACGTTAAAAAAAAAATATAATTAATTAATTAAGTGATACAAGGTTAAGTCAGTGTTTCCAGGTATTAGCAGGGTGAAATATCTGGATGGTTTTTGTTTACCTTCCTTCCCCTTTATGCAGCCATCTTACCACCTCATTATTACCTGACCATGTGAATGTTCATCCCTAGACCAGATTTTATTTGTGCATTACATATGTTGGTACTTTTGTTAATGGTATACTTTGTAAATGGGTCTGTTCATTTTAAAATTAGCAGTGTTAACTACCTAAATAAAGAAACTGACAGGTTTGGAGATGAAAAGTAAAACTTGGGCTGAAAAAGAGTTCAAGATAAAGTGACTTTAAAAATAATGAAAAACTAATTTATGGCAAGGGTTAAAATTAAATTGTTCCTAGAGGTCTTTTACTGTGGGGCTGATTGGATTGCTTTAACATATTGTTTTGAACTAGCTGATTTTTAACCCGATTACTTTTTAAAAAGTTAAAATCTTTTCTAAACTTGGGCAGTCCTGAACTTTTGCAAGGGTAGAGTGTCACATTTCCTCATGTGTCTTTATGCTACTCAGTCATCTGATGAAGTTGCCAGTTTGTGGTCAGAAATTGAGAAAGAGGAGTGAGGAAACTCAAAATATTGACACACATACCACCGTGCAGTGCATCAGAGTGCCCTTTTGGACTGGTTGGAAAACTGTAACCTAAGCCTTTTCCAAACTAGACATATTATTATTTCCTAGCTTGGATGAGATGGCTTTTGATTTTTTAAGTATTTGAGCATGTCTGTCAGCAGAAACTTTTTCTTTGTGAGGGTAATTTTTTCCAGTGTTGTGTGACCAATTGAATAATAATAATAATAATACTAAGGAAACAAACACTGAAGGAAGCTTGTGGAAATCATGAAAAATTGATCACCCAATCTCTCAGGTAGACCAAGGCTTGACTGAAGGAAGGAATGAGCTTAATGGAGAAATTAATAGTGAAGTTGCATTATAAGCACTTTAAAATATGAATATTCAATTATGTTTTCACTCTGCCAAAAAATAAAGGTTTTTAATAGCACAGGCAGTTTCAGCCACCGTTACTCATACTGAGTATACGTTCTTGTGCGATTTTTATTGCATTTGAAAAAAGTGATCTGTTTTGTTATTCTAAGTTTTCACAAGCCTTATAGTTTGACTGTGGCACAGGTGAGTTTGATTCTTTTTTGTCTAAAGATAACGTAAAAACAAGAAGACCATAGATAATAGCTTACCTTTATTGTTACCTGCCATGTTCTTTAAAGAGCTGACTTCAATTCATTTAATCTTCCCAACAGCCTGATGATAAAGGTAAATTATGATCTTTATTTTAAAGAGGAAGAGAGAGAGACATAGAGTAAATACCCTAAATGCAGCCCATCTATTTAGGGAGAGATTAAAGGGATTTTCTAGGGTAATTTGGACTCCATCCTATACCCTAGCTTCACTGTAGAAATTAGCCCCTATGTATGATGCAAACTTAGTGTTTTTGTTAGAATTCTGGGAATGCCTTCCACATCATACTTTTCTTTATGATATGTGGTAGTTTTCTTTCCTTCTTACAGGCCGTATATTATTGACCCCTCCTAATCCCTTTATTATTATTATTATTTTTTTTAAATTTCTTTTCAGCGTAACAGTATTCATTGTTTTTGCACCACACCCAGTGCTCCTGTATTATGTTTTAAACTAAATACTGAAGTTCTGGAAGGCAGGGATCCAGGTCTTAAACTAATTTGCCTCTTCAAGTACTCATTTTTCATAGAACCCTCAGAGATAGCCCCTTTGAAGAGTTTTCTTAACTTTTGTTGACCTAAATGGAAATACTTATTTCCATTATTCTTTTTTCTGTAAGATGATAATGAATCATTTTGCTAATACTTTATATGTGAAAACTTTTCTTCAATATTTGATTTAGGGATTTAGTTTAAAATAACACGTTTAGAAAAATTCTTTCTAAAATGTTTTCTTTTTCCACTAATCAGTGTTTCATAAACTTCTAGGAAACATGCTATCACTTGCTTATGTGTAAAGCATACCCGGTTTATGCAAGTACAGGGGAAGGATTGTGAGCCTACGCTGAAGCCTTTAATCTAAAGCTTGGAGTGATTGGGGGTACTCACCTGATAGTTTATCTTAAACATTTATCACTTAATGGAGGGACTTCTCTTTTTGGAAAGTTTTCTGTGCTAATTTTGCCAATTCTCTCTCTTTTTTTTTTTTTAAGATTTTATTTATTTATTTGACAGAGAGAGAGAGAGAGATCACAAGTAGGCAGAGAGGCAGGCAGAGAGAAAGGGAGGAAGCAGGCTCCCTGCTGAGCAGAGAGCCTGATGCGGGGCTCAATCCCAGGACCCTGGGATCATGACCTGAGCCGAAGTCAGAGGCTTTAACCCACTGAGCTACCCAGGTGCCCCTAATTTTGCCAATTCTTATGAGAGTGTTTAAAATGCTGGAATTTTAGGGGCGCCTCGGTGGCTCAGTCAGTTGAGCATCCAACTCTGGATTTCAGCTCAGGTGGTCATCTTAGGGTGGTGAGATTGAGCTTGGGGTTGGCCTCTGGGGTGAATGTGGAGTCTGCTTGAGATTCTCTCTCTCTCCTTCCTTTGCCCCTCCCCCTGCTCGCTCTCTCTCTCAATAAATAAATAAGTAAATACATAAAATCTTTAAAAAAAGAAGGTGCCTGGGGTACCTGGGTGGCTCAGTCAGTCAGGTGTCTGCCTTCAGCTCAGGCCATGATCCCAGGGTCCTGGGATGGAGCCTCCATCGGGCTCCCGGCTCTGAGGGGAGACTGGCTTCTCCCTCTCCTTGTGCTTGCATGCACATGTCCTGTCTCTCTCTCTCTCAAATAAATAAGATATAAAAAAAATTAAAAAGATGCTTGGAATTTTATGTGATAGATAATTCTGTGGAAAATAAGCATAGTGCAAAGATATCTAAAATGATTTATTGGCTTCTATTTTAAAACTTCATTATGGGGGCACCTGGGTGGCTCAGTTAAGTATCTGCCTTCAGCCTCGGCTCAAGTCATGATCCCAGGGTCCTGGGATCGAGACCCTCATTGGACTCCCTGCTCTGCGGGAAGCCTGCTTCTCCTGCTCCCACTCCCCCTGCTTGTGTTCCCTCTCTTGCTTTGTCTTTCTCTGTCAAATAAGTAAATAAAATCTTAAAAAAAAAAAACACCTGCCAAACTGTTTAAAAAAATAAAGCTTCATTATACAATTAAGTAGTTAAAGCAGAGTAGAGATACATCTTTGGAATTGTATTATGATCGGAATGGCTATTAGTGGCTTTAAAAATTATGAATTACTTCGTTTATTTCATTGTTACCATTTCTCCTGCTTTATATTCCCAGTCTATTTTCTGATTTATCAGAAAGATATTTAAATATTAGAATACTTGAATTAGTTTACTAGTTAAAATGTAAACTGACATATACTTCAAATATAATTGTATACCATATAGTGTAAATAGAGCTACTTTTACCTGTATTTTACTTAAAGAGCAGTGAATTGGGATATTTTATATTTCTCTTACGCATTAAGTCACTGTAAGTTGTACATGGCATTTGGTTTATTTTCTCTTTATCTTTGATATTAAATCTTACTTCTCCTATTCTAGAAAAGTAGAAATAACCTTTTTGAGGAAATGATGAATCCCAGCAGAAAGGTATTCTCCAGAAAAGTTGTGTTCGTTAATTTTAAGTAATTTAGCAGTGTGTTGTTGTCCTGTACAAGTCCAGGATAAACTAATGGGTAAAGTATCCAGAATTGCCCCATGCAGGCTCTGCAGAGGATCTCTGGGAATATGGAGGCACTTTGCAAAGAACAAATGAATAAGATAGTGTATAGTCAATGTTGTTCTAAGTAATGTGAGAGCTAAACAAGCTCTTTCACAGTTGATCTGTACTTTGGAACTTGGGGCTTAAGTTTTGAACACAGTATAACAGTGGTTAAGAGCTTAGGCTTTGAACTCAGGCTGGAGGTTTAAGGGATATTTAGAAGAGTTCCTGATTATTATAATCAATAGAACCACCATTGTTTGTATAACAGTTGTTAATGGGTAACATTTTCTGTCTCAGGCTAACACTGTGTGCTTTCCATATATTATTTAACCTTTACATGTTATAAAACATGCCAAATAGAGGACAAGAAATACAAGTAAATCTTAAATTTAGATGTCAGTAAATAAAAGGCTATTTAAAAATACAGGCACCTTAAAAAAAAAAAATCAGGCACCTTAGTATAATCAGGTCATTTATGCCAGATGTCTGGACTTTTAAAGCTCTTGCTGCCAGTTCCTCCTCCTCTCTTTTCAAAACAGGGAGAAACCCAGGGCAGCTAGATAAAATTTTAACAGAATTTTAACTCTAGAGTAGTACCCAGGTTATTTTGATGTATAGGAATTATTTTATATTGACCAATATTCAGAATTAGTCATGGTTCATAATTCAGCAGTGTTCTACTTACATGGAGATTTTTTTTTAAAGGTGATGTTTTTTTTTTTTTAAGATTTTATTTATTTATTTGACAGAGAGAGTTCACAAGTAGGCAGAGAGGCAAGCAGAGAGAGAGAGAGAGAGAGAGAGAGAGAGAGGAGGAAGCAGGCTCCCTGATAAGCAGAGAGCCTGATGCGGGACTTGATCCCAGGACCCTGAGAGCATCACCTGAGCGAAGGCAGAGGCTTAACCCACTGAGCCACCCAGGCGCCCCTTACATGGAGATTTTATCTAAGGTGCATTTATTGCCAGCTCTGGAGAGAACATTTTTGGAATGAAGGTAAAAAAGAATGACTTAAAAGAAATTTATATAATCTTCACTGTATTTGTATTAAATTCCTATCCATTTATTGAAGATTATGGGAACTTTCTAAATAACAGATTTTTTATATATTCTGTATTCTGTATTGTTTAAAGGATAAGAAGAAAGGCCAACTTAGAAAAAGCACTAGAAATATAGCTGCTGGGGCGCCTGGGTGGCTCAGTGGGTTGGGCCGCTGCCTTCGGCTCAGGTCATGATCTCAGGGTCCTGGGATCGAGCCCCGCGTCAGGCTCTCTGCTCAGGAGGGAGCCTGCTTCCTCCTCTCTCTCTGCCTGCCTCTCTGCCTGATTTGTGATCTCTCTCTGTCAAATAAATAAATAAAATCTTTAAAAAAAAAAAAAAAGAAATATAGCTGCTCTGAGATAATTTAAAGGAAATCACTAATTATTTAGAAATGAAGTAAAAATCTTTTAAATATGAAGAATAATTTAAATTGCCTGTGTTAATATAAGGCATGGTATGTATTTTCCTGTCTTCACATACTGGTCTTATCCATTCCTTATAAACAATATTTATTTCAAAGTAGTATTATAGTAATAACATTAAAAGTTATTTTATTTTTTATTTTTTAAAAGGTTTTATTTGAGAGACAAAGAGCATGAATTGGGGGGAAGAGCAGAAAGGAGGGAGAAGCAGGCTCCCTGGCAGGGAGCCCATGAGACTCAATCGCAGGACCTAGAGATTATGACCTGAGCCAAAGGCAGATGCTTAACCTACTGAGCCACCCAGGTGCCCCTGAGAATATTTTATTTTTTAAATCAGTGTGTTGTAATAGAACTGGAATTTACAGTCTGAGGGTTTGAAAGTTTTTTGTTTTCTTTTAAATTGTGACAAAGCCTTTTGAATTTTACAGTTTCTTCTAAAAAAGAAATAGGAATGGTACCTGCTTTAGCCTGTCTAATTTTCACAATCCTGGGAGGTAATGGAGAGGAGAGCTGAATAAACTGAAGCAAGTCAAGTTGTAAATTCTCTTGACTGAAGTATACTTTCTGAAATCAGTCTCAAGCATAGAGAATGCATTGCTACATTCTCAGAAATTAGCTTTTAGGTAGATTGCTAAAGAAGTTCTTAAAACCTTATCTTAAGACACCAGCATGCTGGCTGCGTTAGGTATGTTTGCTCTACCACTTTAATATTTTTAAGTAAAATGTAAGACAGTATTTGAAGAAGAACTAAAAAATGAGATTTTTCAGAATGTCTGATTATAGAAGAAAATTTAAAATGTGGATGAAGTATTTACATTGTGTGTGTGCTCCGTGTGTGTGTTCTCCTCCTCAGAAAGGCAATAGAAAGATTTATTTGGCAGGTTGGCTTGGCTAAGGTAGGGAGAGGGTAAAACAAAGCTTTAACCCTGAGTTTGCCGAACTGCTTCTTGACTCTTCTAGGCAGAAGATTTAGGACTTTTTGACTGCTTTTTTTCTTTTTTAAGATTTTATTTATTTATTTGAGATGAGAGCGACAGTGAGCATGAACTCGGCAGGAGGGGGGTGGGAGGGTGATTTGTACAGAGGAAGGAGGGAGAAGGGGACCCCGCACTGATCAGAGAGCCCAACTGCATCCCAGGACCCTGTGATCATAACCTGAGCCGAAGGCAGATGCTTAACTGACTGAGCCACCCAGGTGCTCAGACTTTAGATTCTTATGTACTGAATTCCTGAAAAGCTTCCTGTTTTAATCAGGATTGTTTAAATTGGTTTTTCTTCCCATGGTTCAAATGAATCTAACCCCATCTTTCAGGAAAGGAGCTGTGATAAGATAATGAGAAGTGTTCAATGAGTGTTCCAGTTCAATCTCCAGAAGTTGGTAGAGTAGCATTTCCAGATACACGTTTATGCCTCAGATTAGGCTTTAAGGTGGGAGATGGACCTTGAAGCAGAGGACTCAAATCACTTGAAATTATACCCCGAGTACTGGTAGTTAAATTTTTGTAATTGTAGTCTTTTCAGATTTGACTTGTCCTGAGGCTACTTAAAAGTACTTTGTATGTTTTGCTCCTTAATAATCTTGTGCCTTAAACATAGCCTTGTTTTCAAAACATTTTTTATACCATCTGCTAAACCCAAAATGCAAAAATAATGAGACCCTCCCAGGGCTTTTGAAGTTTGTTTTCTAACTTAATGTTTTATCAATCTGGCACTTTTTATTCATTTTTGGAAATACCTCTGAATGCATCAGTTCACTGAAACTATTGCTGGAGCTGGGCCACAGGGTGAGAAGGCTGAAATGAATGTGTTGAGTTTAAAATTAAAATACTTTTATCACAACCTGGTATTCTCCTGGATTATGAGCATCAGAATAAATTGTACAAGTTTTTTTTCTTTCTCTTTCTTTCTTTTTTTTTTTTTTTAAGATTTTATTTATTTTTTTTGACCGAGAGAGAGAGACAGTGAGAGAAGGAATACAAGCAGGAGGAGTGGGAGAGGAAGAAGCAGGCTCCCCTCTAAGCAGAGAGCCGGATGCTGGGCTAGGTCCTGGGATCATGACCTGAGCCAAAGGCAGACGCTTAACGACTGAACCACCCAGGTGACCCACAAGTGTTTTTTCCTAAGATCACTTCTCGGCAGTTTATTAGGAATTGTACTAGGAAATAATTTGATTTCTTTAAAAATTTTCACAAACATAGTATGGCCCCTATATTTACTACCCTCTTACTTTGATCCTTAACATGTTTACATACCAGAGTGTAACCTGCTGTAACCGGTTTCTTAGCTACATGGTGCTTTGTGTAGATTGCATAGGGATTGTGGGAACAGTTCTCAGAACTCTGCAGACTCTCTGGAAATATAGTACAGCTTTTTGCCTTCGCCAGTAGAGCTGAAGAAGAGCGGTTGAATGGTAAGTGCTATGCTCTTAATAGCCATTTAATTTCTTGCCTGAGGTCAGAAGTGCAATATTATGGAGAGAACTTATACCTTGCTTTACCAAACGTTTATATGTTTAAAAAGTTAATTAATCTTATTTCTAGAAAGTGTAAGGAGATGAAAATTACTTCCTTTTGTCTTCAGGGCTTTCTGCTTACCATATAGTAGAAAGCTCATTGGTTATAACTGGTGTGTGTTTATGGAAACCCTCAGGAATGTATTCCTGATTTTATTTTATTTTATTCTATTTTTAAAGATTTTATTTATTTGAGAGAGCGAGTGCACAAGAGAGCACTAGTGGTGTGAGGGGCAGGGTGCAAATCAGGCTTTCCGCTGAGCAGGGAGCCTGATGTGTGACTTGATCCCAGGACTCTCTGGGAGACCTGAGTCGAAGGCAGCTGCTTAATCGACTGAGCCACACAGGTGCCCCTGTATTCCTGATTTTTAAAAAAATGGGGTTTTACTATAAAAGTTAAGTTTTTCTTAACATGCCTGTATTTTTTAATTATTGAAGGAGTTTGAGAATTTATGTTGAGCTATAGAAATCAGCTGATTAGCTCTTGCTGATAAAACTTTTGACATTCAATAGTCCATTGTTTTTATTCACAGAGAAATTGATTTTATCCTTTTACTAAAATGAAAAAATATTCTTAGGACTTTTGTTATGGCCTATGGTATTTGAACCATAGCAAATACAGAGAAAGTAATGACTACTGTCTGATTATAGAATCATTTGCAAGCATGATGTGAAAATGTATCAGCTTCCCCAAAATTTAGCTTTTACATGTTCTGGAAATTGTTGTTTTTTTCTCCTTAATTGTACTGAATGTCTGGTTAGTTTTGTGGTTGACAACATCTGTATATGAAGAACTTGTTAAATTAGCATCCAAGAACCTAAACTATAACTAGCATTGTATGGTTATGCTTAAGAAAGCATTCTTTTTTTGGGACATGTACCCAGTTTATTTGGGTATTACTGTATTTTCTTTAAGCTGAACTCTTTCCACTTCCACACCTGAAATCCTTCTCTTTCTAGACATTCTTTTGCATTCTACGTGATCTTATGCATATTTAAAAACAGAGTTCTACATTTCTTTAGTAGGAGCACTGTGGTTTAAAACCACTTTTTATTTTCAGCGTGTTTTTTTTTTAAGATTTTATTTATTTATTTGACAGACAGAGGTGTAGGCAGAGAGGCCCGCAGAGAGAGAGAGGAGGAAGCAGGCTCCCTGCGGAGGAGAGAGCCTGATGTGGGGCTGTATCCCAGGACCCTGGGATCATGACCCGAGCTGAAGGCAGAGCCTTTAACCCACTGAGCCACCCAGGCTCCCCTCAGCGGTATTTCTTTTAAAGATTTTATTTATTTATTTGACACACAGAGAGAGGTCACAAGTAGGCAGAGAGGCAGGCAGAGACAGAGAGGGAAGCAGGCTACCTGCTGAGCAGAGTCCGATTTGGGGCTCCATCTCAGGACCTGAGATCATGATCTGAGCCCAAAGCAGAGGCTTCACTCACTGAACCACTCAGGCACCCTTCAGCGGTATGTTTTTAGGCAAATTGGATATGTGTGTGTAGGTGAAAATGTTTATTCTATGTGCCAGTGTAGGTGAACAGGGATGGTGCTTGGTTTTATTTTTAAAATAAAACAACTGTGAAGAGAAATGCCAAACAACACTAGTAAATCAAACTTTAGTTTTAACTCCAGCATTGTAAAATTCCGTAATGACTTCAGTTGGGTGTTAATAGCTGGTTTTTGTCTGTTTGAAATCTGTATGATGAGCTCTCACATGACTTCAGCTGACTGCCAGTCAACGGTTGCATTGTGCATATTCTACAGTTGCAGAATTCCACAGTTGTCAGTGTTCTAGTCTTAGAGTGTAGCCCCTTAGCATACTGTGATGCATAATGAGTGCACTGATGATTTGTTAGCACTCAGCACTCATTGGACTCAGTTGCCAGCATTTGTTATTTAGGAAATGTCTTAAGGACCTGCTGCTATATGCCAGACACTGTTTTTGTTTTTAAGATTT